GAATTTTTGTACAAAAGGTGAAACATGGCCGTGGCGGCTCCCGTGCGCCACCGACGACGTTAGGCCGTCCTACGACCAAACTCGGTTTTTTTTTTCTCTCGGCTATTCACTCATAACTGATCATGAAACATAACTTACTGAATAAATAGACATGAATGTTCAAAGGAGTATTTACTTAATGAACTTGATACGCATGAACGGCCCGTGGCTCGTGCTACATGCACGGCCACGTCCTTCGGCCAAAACAACGACTGAACTTCATATTCTTTTGAACAACTTAAACTGAATAGACATGATATTGCATAAAATAGTTAGACATGCAAAATTTGCTTGAAAGATTTCACATCATAACATGAACGCACTTGCTATAGCCTTACGCACGGCCGAACGGCTTGATGCCGTTCCATGAACATGATTAAATTGATCGGAGCTAACACAACTTAACAAAGGTAAACTGAAGTTACCTCCTTAACACTCGGCTGATCGCTTTAATTGGTCAAGACAACCGGAGCCTCCGGCGGTGCTAAGCTTCTCGTCGTGCGATGCGCGTGCGGTGCCGTAGCTTGCGGTGCGAAGAAACTAAGGAAATTGCTCACCAATCTTACTAACTCTCACTCTTAATATATATAATATAGGCTGAATGTAATATCTCATCAGTTTAAAAATATAAATCATGTTCTAATTCTGATTTAATAATATTGTCGAGTATTATTTTCGGAATTAATTAATTTCAGTCGAAATTATCTAAAATTATTTTCGACGTTCCATTTACGTTCGGAATAATTTTGGTAATTAAGCATTATGTTTAATTAAAAATTAAACATAATGAGGTAATTAATTAGCAATTAATCACAATTTAAATGGCAAAAGCCGTAAGCCATTTCCAAATTTGTTTTAAAGCCGTGCGGGAAATTCTTCATACGGAAGAAAAATCATTCCTTCTCCTTAGACTTTATACGTGTCTTAAGAAGAGAGATTAAGGGATGAGTCATAAGTTGTGAGCTCCTATTTGGTGGCAAGTGGCACCAAGGAAGTGAGACCACATCACTACCTCATCATCCATTTCTTTCTCACGGTTTTAGTATAAAAGGAGCATTAGGGATAAAAATTTTCCCACCTTCCCGTAAGTAGTATTCAACATACATATATATATATTATAAAGAGTGAAGTTAGTGAGATTTTTGAGTACCACACGTACGGCAAGTTGCTACCGCAAGCACCGCACGCCACACCGCGAGCACCACGCACGAGCGCCGAACGCCGGGAGTACCTGGTGTAAGTCAGCAAGCGAGTGAAGAGGTAGCTTCGATTTTACTATGTTTTCAGTTAATAAGATCATGCTTAAGCTAGTTGTTCGGCAATACGCATGAGTTAGAGTTTATTTGTGTTAACTGTGCGTGAAGTCTAGGTTGAACATGTTCGTGTTTGATCTGAATTAATAGAGTTATTGTCGTGCGTGTAGTCGTTTCATGATTTATCATGTTTATTCAGTTTGAATTGTTTGGATGAATGATAGAGAGTAATCTCCCGGTCATGACATCTGATATCTGCATGATAAAAGGACAGCCAATCCATCCCGAGAATGAGGTCGAAGCCCCTCATCTCAAGAACATACGCATCGGC